AAGGTCCTCGCCTTACACGCCCAGGATCCCATATGGGCGCCGGTTCTATCTCAGGCAGCCCCGCTTCCCTTCCAGCTCCCTGCCTGTGGCCCGGGAAAGCAGTCGAGGACGGCCCAAAGCTTTTGGGAGCCTGCAGGCACCCACGTGGGAGACCTGGAAGAGGCTCCTGGCTTCGAATTGGCATAGCATTTGCCGTTGCGCTCACTTGGGGGGGTGAATCATCGGACGGAAGATCTTCCTCTCTGTCTCTCCTCTCTGTATATCTGACTTTCCAATAAAAAAAAAATAATAAAAATAAATCTTAAAAAAAAAAAAAGAAAAAAAGAAATGGAACAGCCGAAAAACTAACAGGTACCTATATGGGATGTCGGCACTAGCAGTCCATTACACCATCATTCTGGCCCCTAAAATTAATTTTAAAAAATCCTTCACCATTTGAGGAAAATATCTTTTGAGTAAAATGTGGGACTATTACAGTAATCTCATCATTAAATTACATTTATTAAATTACATTTATTTACTTTACTAAAACACTACATTTAAAAAATTTTTTTAAAAAGATTTATTTTTAGGGCCTGGCGCGGTGGCGCAAGTGTTTAAGGTCCTTTCCTTTCACGCCCAGGATCCCATATGGGCGCCGGTTCTATCCCAGGCAGCCCCGCTTCCCTTCCAGCTCCCTGCCTGTGGCCCGGGAAAGCAGTCGAGGACAGCCCAAAGCTTTGGGACCCTGCACCCACGTGGGAGACCTGGAAGAGGCTCCTGGCTTCGCATCAGCATAGCATTTGCCGTTGCGCTCACTTGGGGAGTGAATCATCGGACGGAAGATCTTCCTCTCTGTATATCTGCCTTTCCAATAAAAAAAAAAAATAAATCTTGATTTATTTTTATTGGGAAGTCAGATATACAGAGGGGAGGAGAGACAGAAAGGAAGAACTTCCATCTGATGATTCACTCCCCAAGTGACCACAACGGCTGCTGCACCGATCCAAAGCCAGGACACAGAAACTTCTTCTGTGTCTCCCACATAGGTGCAGGATCCCAAGGCCTTGGGCCGTCCTTGACTGCTTTCCCAGGCCACTAGCAGGCAGCTGGATGGGCAGTGGAGCTGCTGGGATTAGAACTGGCTCCCATATGGGATCCTGGTGCGTTCAAGATGAGGACTTTAGCTGCTAGGCCACCGTGCCTGGCCCTCCATTTTGTTTTTAACTATAACGGGGTAATAGAGCACATAGACTATAGAAACAGTGACAGACCTTGTAGTTTAACATGTTAAACTGCTTCAGAGAGCCGTTTCTTACTTTGGAGTTCCCTGTTCCAGTTTTAGCAATTCTGTCTTGCTGAGCCAACTTCCTGCTAATGTGTCTAGGAGGCAACAGATGATGGTCAAGGACTTGTGCTCTTACCACTCATGTGGGAAACCAGGAAGAATTTCCTGGCTCCTTGTTTTTATCTGATCCAGCTCTGACTGTTGAGAGCATGGGCATTTGAGGAGTGAACCAATAGATGGAAGATCTCATACTCTTTGTCTCCTTTCCATTTCAAATAATTTTTTTATTGCAATAAACAGCTTTTATTTTTTTTTTAGGTTTATTTTAGGCTGTAAGTAGAAATCTTTTTTTGCCTAAAATGTAGAATTAAAAGATGTGGTGACCTGTTGTGTTAACAAGTGTCAAAGCATACTAACAAGTTTCCTGTGTTATAGTTTAAGATACAAATATATCCAGTAGCACCCTTTGCTTAACAGGCAAGAGAGCTACTTATTTGAATGCATTTTCTCAACTGCCTATAGTCCTTCTGTCCCTCTCAGGTAGCTGGGATGTTGATATTCTGAGTAACTATGTAGAATCCCTAGAGACCATTCTAGCTCAACCACTCTGAAGAAGCGGCTCTGTAAACAGTATTGACCCTCAGGGGACCATCAAATCCATTTACACAGATACCAGTTGTCACAAACTATTTACAAAGCTAAGCAGAATGGAATTTCCCAGCCCTTAAGAATTCCTGTTTGATTCTTCTTACTCCCTCACTTCTGTACTGTAGTAGGGAAATAACAGTTATTTTTGACCATGAGACTTGAGTCTATGAGTAACATTAATTTAGCTTAGTATTTTGTGTATCAGTTAACTAAAATAAGTGTAATTGGTGAACTGAATTCAAATCAATTCAAAACCTTTCTTTCCTAGGATAAGAAAGGGTATCACGACGCTGTTGACTGAAGAATTGAGGATTTAACAATAGTAACATTGAAGTAGTTGACAATACTGACACCTCCTGAAGTAAAGCAAGAATTCATTAGATCATGAAACTTTACTAGAAGGTGTGCAAGTCACTAGACAGATACAAGTTCTTTAAGACAAATGATTTCTCAGGCAAATCCTTCTTTATTAATATTCCAAAAATTGTTACTACATTCGCCCAGTTTTCCTAGAAGAAAAACTGTCTAGCATTAATAATAGGTAGAATTTTAGAGAAATAACTGGTGGCAGTCATGCATAACATAATTTTTAAATGGATGCATCATAATTTTGCATGGCTGTGACAAATTAGTGATAGCAAAATTTGGAAAATATTTTTAGTTTAATATATTTTTATGTTCAAATAAAAGTGCACTCACCAAAGATCAAACAATGGACAGTAAAAGTTTTTCTCATTTAACTTGGAAAAAAGTAAGTCCAAATTCATAGACTTAAGGATTATGAAGAGGAGATTGATAATTTATTCTGTAAGTCCATATGGAGAGTTGAATTTAAATAGTATTAATTCAGTTAGGCATAATGATAGAACAGTTAACAATGAAATTGATTGAACACCAAAGAGGGTTACTGAAGAGAGTTTCCATTTCAAGCCATAAGAGAGAGGAAGAGGAATCAATAGAATAGTTTTAGTTTTAAGTTTTCATTTGCATAGAGTTAAAATTTTTTAATCAAAAGTGAATATCCACCTTTCTGCATAACACTGATCTGTTAAATTGACTTGTGTGTAAAAACAGTCTCATAACTACTGCTGGTGGAGTTTAATTGACTCATGTGCTTATATTTTTAAACATGATTCTTGCTAAAATGATGGGGCAACAAAGGAATGTTCAGTTAAAGCCTTTCTTTGCTTTCTTCCATTATCAATTCATAAAGATTTTTACTGGCCTGCAGAGTTTGGGAAGATGAAATACAATTTGCCTATCGTATTTCAGTTAAAGAAGATGTTAATTCAGAAATTGTATTTAAGTTGAGATTTGAAGAATAATGAAAAAACACAAGATAATAGCAAAACACAATAGCAGAACACAAGATTATAGAGTAGTGCCTTAAAATTTATTTTGAAAGGGGCTACTCTGGTGGTGAAGTAGGTTAGGTGATACGATGGGACACTGGTATCTCATGTACAAGTAACAGCCAGTAAAGAGTCCCGGCTGTTCCACTTGTAGATTAAGGTATATAGGATTTCTTTATGCTGATCTTTCAGCTGTTTAATAAAGCAGCATATCTTAAAATAAGAAATTAAAAGAAAATGACTTAGCCATCCTCGGTTTTTGTCTGCTTCCTTATGTCTCTGTCTTGAGTAGTTTGTGCAGTCATAAACTTTTGCATTTTTTTAAAGATTTATTTTTATTATTTTTTATTGGAAAGGCAGATATACAGAGAGGAGAGACAGAGAGGAAGATCTTCCGTCCGATGATTCACTCCCCAAGTGAGCGCAACGGCAAATGCTATGCAGGTCTGAAGCCAGGAGCCTCTTCCAGGTCTCCCACGTGGGTGCAGGGTCCCAAAGCTTTGGGCTGTCCTCGACTGCTTTCCCGGGCCACAGGCAGGGAGCTGGAAGGGAAACGGGGCTGCTGGGATAGAACCGGCACCCATATGGGATCCCGAGTGTACAAGGCAAGGACCTTAACCACTTGCACCACCGCTCCAGGCCCTATTCTATGTTTTTTATGATTTGCATTTTCCATATATTACAGAAAAATTTCATGCATGAAAATTAATTGATACTTTTAATTCAATTTTCCATGAATTGTTGGAAGCACACCAATGCATGATGCATACCTGATAAAATGATGTTAAAAAGAATTTTTTATATATTCTGTATCTTCGTGATATTGTGATGTTTATAAAAATAATTTTATTTTTATCAATGTATCGGACTCTGGACTTGGTATATTGTATGCGTTAACTTGGTCCTCATAACAATTCATTGAAATAAAGATATTATATTTCCATTTTATGAACAAGAACTGAAGTATAGATAAAGTAACTATCCCAAAGTTTTGCATTTGGCAAAGTTGAAATTCTAACCCATGCAGTCTGATACCAACATTGTATGTGCACTGTCATTTTCTTGGGAGGTAGGATTTATATATGTACAGAGAGAGACTAGATCCCAGAGATTCTGATTTCATTAGTGTCTGTGTGGTCTGAGTTTAAGATTTTGTTGGGGAGAAGAATAGTGCAATGACTATATGGCTAAATCCTGATTTGCAAATCCCGTATAGATGATGGTTTGTGTCCCAGCTGCTCTACTTCCCATCCAGCTCCCTGCTTGTGTCTTGGGAAAGCAGTGAAGGATGGCCCATAGCCTTGAAACCCTGTACCTGTCTGGAAGACCCGAAAGCTCCTGGATCCTGGCTTTGGATCAGCTCAGTTCTAGCTGTTTTGACCATTTGGGGGAGTCAGCTAGCCAACAGAGGATGTTTCTGTTTCTTCTTCTCTCTAAATCTGATCTGATTTTCTGATAAAAATAAATACATCTTTAAAAGAAAATTTTTTTGACCTCTGTTTATTTCAATCTGCAGCAAAAGCTATCAGTCTTAATATTAAGTATCTAATGACTTTGGAAATGGGAGTATTGATGATAACAGCCACTTTGTACATGCTTATTTTATTTGATTACAGTGGGAATAAGTATGTGTTTAAAGCCATGGGAGTATTCAGAATAAAAAGTATTCCGTTGATTGAATTATATATGATGTCTCACATATTGCATGTTCTGTTTTGTTTGCTTAAGTACAGATATAGCCCACATTCATCCTGAGCAGGAGAGTACGGTGGGAGACACAACTGCAGAGTCAACTGAACAATTGAATATGAATTCCGATGGAAGCATGCATCAGAAGCCCAGTGAATTCATAGATCAAATCCCATATGAGGACGCAAAACTAAAAGGGCAGAGTTCAAGGAATTTTCAAGTCGTCAGTTCTTATCCAGATGACACGGAAGATTCCTGTAATATGGAGAAGTGCAAGTGAGTGCTAGCAACCATAGGTTTAGAAAGTGAGAATACGGAGAGCTTTGTCTTCCTGTATCTCCTTCTTTCTGGTGTGGATTGAATTTAATAATGTCATTAATTTACTAGAAGATAGGATCTCTCCTAGGACTGCTTTCATATTAATGATATACTACCGCTCGTTAGCTAAGTGGAAAACTGTAAGGTGAATTTAAAGAAAACAATGAGATTTTATGCCTTATTCAGCATTTTCTGATATTATAGATGTGGAAGCAATTGTTGAGTGGATATAAAAGGGGTGTTATTCTTCAGAGCAAAAGCTAATATCTCCAGGATAAATTAAAATCCAAAGTTAGATCTTGGTTTAGGTTACCACTGTTTCTCATTTAAGTGAATTTTAATACTTCTGAAGAGTTTTATACTCTACCAAATGCACTCCTTATTACTTCACATTCTACAACTTTTTTTCTCCTATTCACATAGCCTTTCTGTTTCATGGAAGGATTTGGATTTGTTTTTAAAGTTTTTTAAACAGCCATATGCTATAAAAAATTAGACTTAAAATTTTAGTGATTAATATAAAAATCTTAGGCAAAATAATATGTTATAGAATACTGTTGGGGAATTTTGCATAGTACCTGTTACTCCAGTGTTTTGTGGATTGTTTGTTAGAGATATTGGTGAATACTAACATATAATGAGATAGGTGCATTGGTTTGTTTCTTCCCCGTAGCAATGTATAGGTCCTTACAGAGGTGTGCATTGGAGTATATTTGGTGGAGGTACTATTTGGGCAAAGGTAGCATTAAGATTATGGGGAAAGTAAATAGGGTAAACCTAAATTATTATATATCTAGTATAATGACAAAATGAGTTGCACATTATAAGTAGAACTACCCTAATTGTCCCACATCTCAGTGCCTTCCTAAAATAGTTTATGTCTTCTCCCTTCCTTTTGTTAATACCACTTATTTGTGTGTTGTCACTGTTCTCAAAAAGCAGACACAATAAAAATAAAATTTTATGTTAACTTGCTCTGAAATGTAACAGAAATAACTTTTCATTTGTAATGTTTAGATTTAAAAATTAAAATATGTTCTTTCAAAACCCAACCAAAACAGCAAATTGAATTAATATTCACAGTTTCTAAAGTGTAAATAACCATGAATCTCTTTGATGTTACTAAAGGAATTCTACAAATTTAACTCTCTCAATTGGTAAGTTGTTGTTTTTCTGTGAAATGGATGTATTTGTTCTCTTTAATCCATTGTATTTTCTTAATGGCACATATTATAGAGAAATTTAGTATTTGATGATTCCTTTTTGTATTGTTAAAATGAAATGTTAAAACTAAAAGTCTCCTTTTGAAAAGTAAAATTCATGGATCCTGTGTAGTAAAAATCCTATGTCTATTTTGTTCAATATTTTTTATCACAGCATTATAGAACACAGAAACGGTGATCTGCATCATGAACATATGATTCCTTGTCAAATTAGTTCAGATGTAAATAATGAAAAGACAATAGCATTTCTTCTAAAAGAATTGGATATTCTCAGGACAAACAATAAAAAGGTAAATTATAAAAAAATCTGATAGTTATACAAAATACTTTATGCTGTTGATCTAGATTTTTTATAATTCAGTTTTATTGAGTCCTTTAATCAACAGTATCCTCACATTCTTACTATCACTTGACATCTGGACATGTTTGAGTTAATGAATTAGCATGAAAATGATTTTGGTTCCTGCCTTGCTGCTGGTCAGTGGTATCACTTCTTTTGGTCGTTAATGTAGGTATCTTAAAAAAAAGATTCATTCAAATGTTGTAGTAAAATGTTACTGCAGCAACGAAGTATGAGAGACATATCCTGGTTTCATGTTGTGACTGTCATAACTTTTCTTATTTCTTTATTCATATCATATTTCTGTATTTCACCTCAATGATGTTTGTAATTGAATATTAAAGTAGCAAATTGTGGCAATATTGTCATTTACCATGTACTGTTGCAATTTGTCTAATCCAATTTGTCATGTCATGTTTTACATTCTTATGTCTCTTGTTGTCTAGTTACAGTCCTGTGAACTTTGAATAATGTCATTAAATGTCAATTTCTGTGTCTTGTTTTTAAATTGTACATATTTTTCTGATTTTAATATTCTCATAATTTGATTAAACCACACTGCTGCATGATGGAAAGAATGTTGATCATGTCTGAAAGGAAACAGCACATTAACTAAAGCCTAGGGAGAAATTTGAAAAAAGAAAAATGAGAGATTTGGAAGGACTCCTTAGGAGAGGAGGAGATATTTTCTGTACTTCATTTAGCAGTTATTTATTACATGTCAGTTATGAGCAGGATGCCAACCATAATGGAATGTGATGGGATGGCATTCCATAGGTAGATTGGTGTCTGATACTATTATTATGTTAATTAATTTTGTTTTAAAATATTGGAATTACTAAGAGAAGTTGGAAAGCTATGCTGTCCATTTGATTAAGGCAGTCCCTTCCAAATCTCTTGCTATAAGAAAAAAGGATAGATGAAGTTGCTTTTGTGATAGTTATTTTTAATTTTATTGTTTCCCTTAATTTTCCTTGCTTGGACATTCTTTATATACATATATTTTAGAATATCTTCAGTAATTTTTATATTTTGAGTAGTTAATTTGTACCTTACAAAAATGCTACTACTTAAAAAAAATTTTTTAGGATTATCTGTTTAGGCCATTTAATGTAGTATTAAAATTAAGGGGAAAATGTGACTGAAGTTAATTATGTTTGTGCCAAATATGTGGCATGTAAGAATCCGAATTTCTTTTCAATCTGTTTTAGCTTCAAGAAAAATTGATTAATGAAGATAAAGAGCGGAGAAAACTAAAGCTGAAGCTTGAACTGCAAGAGAAAGCAACAGAAGCTAAAATTGCTGAGAAGACAGCAGGTATAGTAGAGAGTGGTAATATATGGCCTTAAGAATTACATGTAAGGTTATTCTGGGTGCCATGGTGAATATCCCTAGCATAGTGGCGTATTTGCCAAGGGAGGGGAAGCTTTGTCTTTCTTCTTCTTCTCTTTTTTTTTTTTTTTTTTGGTTGCTTAGAAAATAGGTGGCTTTAACATCCTGGTACTGGTATTAGTGAGAGCTTTACCTGTATTCATACTGATTTGGGCATTAAATGCGTTGTTAACACCATGTCAATCCAATCACAAAAACGTTGTTTGTTTTGTTGGAAGGGCCTGAACAAACAAGGGGAAATGATGATTACCAGTCCCTCTACCTTTCAACCAGCAGTTCAAATATGACTTATTGTTTTAGCCGTTAAGAGGAAATACTTCTCCTTTGTATGAAGATAGTCATATGTGCATTACCAATAGAAACCTTCATTTGATTTATCTGTTTTGAGCAATTAACAGGTTTACATCTGATGAGGTAACTGATAATAGAGGTATTGTTTTCCCTGAGTCTAAAGCAAAAGTTTGCCAAGGTTTAAGATTATAAATGATTGCCTATATTTTGGAGTCTATTTTACTCACATGTGTTTAAAAGGTGAAATTCTTTAGCTTATCTGTGATATGTTACACTTCAGAGAATATGCAGGAGTCTATGATATTCATTTGTGTGTGCTACTCTGTGTCATACTGCTTAAGCAGGTCAAGGGAAGAGAAGTTTTGTTAGAGAATAGACATTAGTATTTGGGGGTGTTTTAGAGATCACATGTTATATCAGTTGGAATGAGTTTAAGAAGCAGTTGCATTCTGTGATTAGTCTGCGGCTGTAATTATGCTTTCTTAGCCTCTTAATCTACTCCCATTCTTACATATAAAAGATTTCTTGATTTTTAGATCAGAGACTTGATTAACTAGCATTTCTTATTTTTAAAATGCTGCTGTAGAAAGTAAAACTGAAGAGCACTATGAAGATATAAACAAGATGACCATAAATAAATACTTCAGCTAAATATCACACGATGGCCTTCTGTTGACATTGAACTACCATGAAGTTTTGGTTTTGTTTGTGGTGAAGAAATGTGAGAGGGATGTAGTTTTCTAAATTAAAAAGTATGTTAAAAATAAAGCCTAAAATATAAATTTAGATCTTATAATAAATTTTAAATTTAAAAATTCCTTGGATTGTTTTGGTCAAATATATGTAACAATTGATAGTACAGTATTATAAAAGGTGCATTTGTTTTCATAATAATTTCATTCTCAATGTGTCATAAGCAACTTAATAAGATCTGGGCTATTCTGATTTAATAACAATCTTGAACTGTCATGTCTGCACGGCACATTTACCTGTTGGAAGGGGAAATTCGTTTAAAAATAAAATGCATTCTTGATGTTTATTATATATCTGAGCATATAGCTGGCATATTTATTTATTCATATCTACAATTTCCCTTAATTGAATAATCTGAAATATTCAAATTAACCAGTATGATTAGTTTATCATTATGTTTCTCAATAATAGGATTTTTAGTAAATGTTAAAATAATTTGAATATGCTAAATATATTTTATAACCCTTATTAGTGGAGATAGTATTATTATAGTTTCTTTTGAACAAAGCAGTCTAGCTAAAAGAGATATATCAAACAATATAAAAATGTGTCTTGATTTTGAAAATAAACAACATGAGCTACTCCATTGAAATTGTAGACATATTGTTAAGAGTACCCAAAGTATAAGGATATAATGTATGATGATATTCATACAGTGTTAATTACAATAACAAGAGAATTAAGAGTGATCTAACAACAAGGCATTTGTTAAATGAATTATGGCACATGTATTTGGCAAAACATTATGCATTACTTAATTATTTCTGAAACACATTTGAAGAGATGAAAAAAATATTATAATATAATGTTAAGGAAAAAGTAGTTTAAAATCTCTATACAATATAAATTTATGAAAGGAAAAACTTTGTACATATCTAAAAATGAGAGGCAAATTTGGTTGATCTTTATGTAACTCTATTTATTTTTTAAAGATTTATTTATTTTATATTTATTTGAAAGGTAGATTTGCAGAGAGAGGAGAGACAGAGATACCAAGAGAAGGAGGGAGGGAAAGAGTGAGAGAGAGAGAGAAAGAAATTTGCCATCTCCTGGTTCACTCCCCAGGTGGCTGCAGTACAGTGGCACGCTGGATCTAGTCCAATCCAAAGCCAGGAACTTGGAACTTCTGGGTCTCCCACATGAGTGCAGTGGCCCAAGGACTGAGGCCATCATTCACTGGCTTCTCAGGCACATTCAGAGGGATCAAAAGTGGAGCCACTGAACTTGAACCAGTGGCCATATGGGATACCAGCACTGCAGGTAGAGTGCTAAAGTACTGTACTATGGTGCTGGCCCCATAGTACATTTTTCAGATTTTCTACAATGAGTGCGTATTTTATTTAGTTTTAGAAATATTAAGCATTACTTTGGTTTTTGGATCATATGCGTACTGTCATTCCAGTGTGATCTTATGAGTATTTGAAATTTGTCCTCTGTCATGGCAAAACCTCAGATGCTTGACCCTTTAAGCTTCCACTCACTGCTGTGATTGTTACCATGTTGACCACCATCATCAGTTCTGTTTATTAGACACTGATGAAAACTGAGCTACTTCTTTATAAATTCAGCAAATAGTTATGTAGGGACCATTATGTGAATAATGTGAGTAAAAAAAGCAAATTAGAGATTTCATATACTTCTTTGCATGCAGTCCCTTTTTAGCCATAATACATCCTATGTGTGTAGGTACTGACGCAATGCTCAGACTTCAGATTCAAACCTTTAATCTCATCTTTTTGCCTCTTATTGTAATGATAGCTTCATCAAGCTATGTGTGATAAGTTGTGATAAATGGTTCTTAGTTTGTGCAAAAACAAAACTGACTGTGTTGTTGCCCCTGTGTTGACATTAGGAAAAATATATCTCATTGTAGTGTTTTTCACTCTGATTTGATTCACTACAGTATATGAAAAATGCCAGCATGTGATGCTTTAAATATTAAACCTTTTGGAGAAGCACATCAGAAACAATGGATCTTTGCCCTTTATGAAAGTATCTTTCTTACCTAAAAATAAGTGACAGGATCATAACATTTCAAAATTTTTTTAGTTAACAGTGAAAGATGGTGTTTTGTGATCTGATTTACATCAATTAATTTGCTCTCTTGTCAGTGATCTGGGATACATTTAAAGCTACTTTGTTTAATTAATCTTTTGTTTTTATTAAATAAGCATCCGCATAGGGCATTGTCTGGTATTTTTTGTCTACATTTTTGTGTATTGCATTTGTAGCACCAGATGATGTTTCAATTTTACGAGAGTATTTAAAATGTTATTTCATGTTGTTTTTATATATAAGTATATTTCTTTAAAAGCCTTCTTTTTCTGTATCTTAGAAGCTCACTTTAGACCTGTGCTTTCTATGTTAGTTATTTTTCTTTCTTGCATGTCATCCATTAAAGATTAGCTGTGGAAGGTTGGAGCATGAAGAGATTATGAATGACAGAACAACTCCTGTAGAATAATAATCAGTTTTTGGTATTTAATGCTGTTTGACTTTTGCAGACACATTTCTTATTAACCTTTGGTACAAAGAGAAATCCAGGTTCCTGATATCTCATGGAGAAGATGAATTGGAGATCCTCTTCCAATTAAATTGAAATAAAGCCAATATTGGGTTTTAGCCAGAGGAACTCTTTAGATTCTAAGTCTTATGTTTATAAGTTTATCTCCATCTACCTTGCTACATTTTAACATATAATTCAATAGTTACATAATTGGCTGTGTTTATACTGATAATGCAAGCATGCTATCTGATTTTTATTTTTAAAAATGGATTCCTTTTGTGAACTCAAATTTCTTAAATTGCAAAATTGTCAATCCCTTTTTACTACAGATAATATTAAATTGGTTTTGTTAAGCAGAAGAGGAATTAACCTGTAATTGTGGGAAGAATCAAAATATATAATCCCTGCAAATTACAATTTAGTTGTTTCTATTCAAGTTGAAGTACAAATGTTAAATGTGCAGGTATATAATCTATCACTATAGCTAATATATCACAATGAATTGACCTGCAAAAATAAGTATTGTATGATAGAAATGTTTATTTTACTAGTCTGTGAAAAGGTTATTACTCTTAAATAAATAATTATATTGAAAATTTATTGAATAAGAGTGAGTTACATCTTTATATCAAAAAGACACTGGCATAACTTTCATTGTTAAGAAAGAGTGCTCACTAAAATTATATTTTTCTCTATATGCAATAGGCAACAATAAAATATAGTTTTTAATAAAATATACAGAGATCGTGTATACCCTTTAATCTATCACTTTTTATTATATATATATATAAATTAAAATGGAAAAATATGTACCTATATTTTATCATTTGGAAGGAAAAAATTTTAAGAATATGACTACTGTTTTCAGATAGAGCAAAATATCCTATCTGTTTAAAATACAGGCAGTAGAAACTTTGATTGATGAAATTTATAATATTATTGTCTTTGGCTTCAATATTGCATGGATATGGGCATGGTGTGATAGCTTAATGACTAAATCCTTGCCTTGCATCCGCTGGTGCAGGGTCTCCCCCACAGATTCCTCTAGTACCTGTTGCCAGAGGGGGTGAGCCTGCTGCCTAACACCCAGCCTCTGGGGATGTGAGAAAAAAAAACAGACAGGCAGGGGTTCTGTCCAGCAGTTCCAGTTTACTTGAGAAATACAGATTCTTATATAGGGCAATGGAGAGCCTCAGGCCAGGAATTTCAGGAATTCCAGGAGGGAGAAACTAGGAGCCAATTACTAGGAGGAGAATGACTGAGGAAGCCACCTCCCATAGTCTAGGAGTAGGTGAGCGAGATGGCCCTGGCAATCAGTCTTTCATTGAAACAACTTGACCCTTGCCTTGGTTCACACCCGGGGCTCTGTCCTTGG